GAGGGTAGTGATTTGTGGGTACATGTAGAGACTTAGTAAAGACTTTTGTGTACATGTATTTAATCTACCTCTCACTTCCCTTTTTCTTCTCTCTCTCTCTCTCCCTCCCTCTCTCTCTCTCTCCCTTTCACCCTCTCTCTCTCTCTCTCCCTCTCTCTCTCTTTCTCTCACTCTCTTTCTCTCCCTCTCTCTCTGTAGATTGATTGGGAAGGAGGTGGTGTGGGAGGTTCTATAAGAGCTATACCACCTTACATAAGATCTGTTCGAGTATCAAGATTGACTGGAGGTGTGAAGTACACTTTTAAGATAAAAGCCCAGACATCAGCTGGCTTTGGAAATGAAGCAGAAATCACTAATTCGACTTCTCTGATAACGATAAGTAATAAATGATACGTGTATTTGTGATTTTGATATCTTTTTTGCTATAATGCTACATGTACATAATGTACAATCAAGATTTGCTTTCAAAAAATTAGAAATTTAATACTACATGTACATTTATATACATGTACATGTATATACATGTACATGTATATACAATGTATTTAATGTGCTGTATAGGCTGTGAATGCTACATGTACAATGTACTATAGTCCACCAAGAATGATTATGAACTTTTCTCAATTATATTCTCATTCATGTACATGTTTGGATCTCAATATCATAATGAATACTTTTATCTTTAAATTTTCTATTTATTAATACTATAACAGTGCTGTTACTCATCATAGTTTTATATTGTATTTTTATAATAGTTACTAGAGCACCATCAACAACAAGTAAGGCAGTTTGTCATTTATATTGTATTTTTATAGTAGTTACTATAGCACCATCAGCAACAACGGTTTCTAATTCAACTGAGGCTACTGCTGTGCCAACTATAATAATGAATAATGGAGGAAATATTGGATGGATAGTTGTTGTGATAGTATTAATATTACTATTGGCTGTATCTATAATGATTGTATTAATACTGGTCATGTACATTAAAAGAAATAATCTTAATCAAAAGAGGTATGTAATTGCACACATTCATTACTTCAAAGTTTGTGGTTCATAGAAAATCAGATAATGATATTGTAATGGAATGCAGTCCAGCTTATGCTACAACTGAATTTAAAACAAAGTTAGTTACACTATTGACCATAGGGGTAGGAACAAACTAAAAGTTGGGGGGGCTAAGGTATTATTTATTTACAATCATAGGAGCATGATTTAACAATTGATCATTAATACATAGCATGTACTGAATTAATATTGTCCAAACTACTGGCGTCTATGCTCATTAAATGGAACAAATTTCTTTGCAATGTCCTCAATGTGTAAATCATCTGTAAATTCTTTGTGTGTATGCAAAATAACTACATGATTAAGACGCTCTTGTGACATTGTGGAGCGCAAATAGTTTTTAAATCTCCTTAATGTTGAAAATCTACGCTCAGCTGAAGCTGATGTTAACAGAGTTGTTAAATAAAGAAGTAGAAGCTTGTGTATTTCTGAAAAAAATAATGAGAGTGCATGTTCTTAGAAGCTAAGCTAGTGTATTAATAGTTTTATGAAACGAATCATCACACAATATGCACACATATAAGGATTACCTAAACTAAAGTCTATAGTGTTGATAATAGTAATACATGTATATCACTTAAAGTTGGGGGGGCTAAGCCCCCCTTCAATGAAGGTTGGGGGGGCTTAAGCCCCTCCTGCCCCCCCTGTTCCTACCCCTATGCTATTGACTATTACATTATGTCTACACACACACACATACAGTACTGCTGATGATATACTAATGAAGGATAGTCCAGCATACAGTACAGCACAACGAACACAGTCAGTTATATAAAATACAATTATCATTATTATTTAAAATAATAGATCAACTGTTGAGCCAGTGTATGATACAGCTAATTGTGAATATGATACTCCTCTTCCACCACCTTCTACTGAATATGAAATACCAACTGTGACTGATTTATAATATAACTTAATCAACTCTTTGCTAGTGTACAAAATATTTATTTATAATACAGGTTTTATATACTCTTGGCACTTGGCTA